AGTTAGGTAGAATAGACAGAGGTAGGTTCATCTCTGTGCAGTCCATGCAAACAATGATATTTCCAGAAGGCTCATCATCAATATTCACTGCATTTAAAAGCATGCTCATGATTTGATTACTACCCTGTAAGGGAAGTTAGATGTAGCCACTCGTGTCTGTGGCTGTTCTGATACACTTCAGAAATTTTTTAATACCTGGCAGCTGAGAGTGTCTCCCTTCATTACACTGAAATTTGAAAGGGTATAAAATATACTTATTTTCATGAGGAAAAAACAACCTAAAATAACTTTTTGCTGCTCTTTCCATATATTTATAAGAGACATTAGAAAATAATTGTGGACAAGACATGTGCTTGGGCCATTGTAAAGAAGAAATTTTGGATTTGAAGTCAGCTGTCAGCACAGCCAAATACTTCTTGGGAATGAGGAATTACAAAGTGTGGATTATTTGACTGTTTTCACAGTTGTTTACTTCTGTGCATCTTACCTTCTGTGAGCTCAAAGGGAATCTGAGCATTTAGGGCTTTGAAGCCACAGTGATTCCTCAGGAAAAAAATCAACGAAAAAATATACTGGATAGAGATTTAAGTAAATGGAAAGCTGAAATACAACTGTGGCTCTTTTAAATGCAGGTTACCTTCAGATTCCAGGGATTAGATTGCCTTAAAAGCATAGTGGGAAAATATTTCTAAAAGTGGTAGCCTTGTCTTAATGTTTGCTCTTTGTGTTACAAGCATGACTGTAAATCAAATGATGGAATTTCTCCTCTATTATTAAAGTTTGCTGTATTCACAGTGAAACTACTTGGCATGGGAGCCACTGTATGTGACCTGAATTGGGATATAGATTTCCTGTTGGAAATATACTGTGAAAACATTCATGGCAATGTGCCAGAAAAAGGGGGAACAACAAAAAAGGAAGGGATTCTGAAACCAGAAAATTAGATACTGTGAGAGATGCTGTTAAATAGAAACTGTTGCAAATAAAAAATATTTAATATGCATGCTTAATTGAGAAATCTGGAACAAGATTTTAGGAATGAGATTTTAAGAAGATTGTGAGAACCAGATTTTAGGAAGGCTGTCATCTTTTGGGGAGAGTTCTTGGAGGCACAAAAATATTTCCACAACACAAGAACATCTAAGTCCTAAATTCCAGCTTCTTTACTATTTATGAAAAAGGGCTAAAACATTTAAGAACAATAATTATATATACATTAATCAAGTGCTGCAAATATGAAACATTGAGGGACCTCTTTTATAAAATGGTGACATAATGAAGTGAAACATTTTGACCTTCTCTAACCCTGTCTAAAAGGTTAACTTAAAAGTTAGTGACTTCTCCTTTGTCTGGCTCCCAGGTCCTCTCTTTGGGGTTAGAATTCCCCGGATGAAAAGTAAAGGCATTGACATAATATGTGTGCTGGTATTGATGCATCCTTGCAGGAGCAGTGGAAGATGCAGTGAAAAAGGTTCCAAAGGCTGCCTTTGAAACTGTCCCAATAAAGAGAGGAGATCTAGTGCTTGAACAGGAATCCATCCTACAGCTGAATTCTCAGTCCTCTAATTTGCCTCCTGGCTAGGCTAAGTAAAGCAACCTAACTAGTGAAATGAACTTTAGTGAATGCTTTTATGAGCCAGAATATTTCAGATACCTGTTCTGTTCAGGCAATATTCTGCAGTAGCATTTCATCTTTACAGGCAGTGCAACACATCAGAAAAGAGTCAAAGCTGATGAGTCAAAGCTCTACTTTATCTCTGCATATTCACAGGCATTTTGAATGTTACTTCCAGGTGACAAACACTTTAGTCAGAGCCACTGCTTTTGGCTGGCTACACATAGCTTAAATCCAAACAATGGCTGGAGTTCTCAGCTACCTGTCCAGGTCATGTTCCCAGATTTCATTCACAAACACATTTTTTGTTCCACAAGAAGAATTAAACAAAGAAATGCATGGAAGTAAATTCTTCTGTCTTTGAGGTTTGGGAGGATGCTAGTGAACATAGTCTGCCTGTGAATCACCATGTACTCTTTTCCCATTTTGTGTCAACAAAAAGCTAATGTAATTTAATTTTTACAACTTGTAAATTAGCAGTATTGACCGAGCAACCTCAGAGGAACTATTGCATCTAAAAGTCTCGTGACCTGCTAGATACTTCAACAGCACAGTTAAACTTAGCCAAATTCATGTAATCACAAGAGAAGAAGCATCTATTCTTGTCTCAGGAGGCACATCCATGCTATCTGTCTGCCACATTGTCCTCCCTTCTAGCTGCCTTGATGTTGCATGAAGTCCCCTGTCAAGACTTGACTCAGATCTTTAGTGTTCACGTCTGCTCTTTCCTGCTTTTTTTCTCCTGGTACCTGTGCTCACTTCCAGACATCTTTAAATTCTGTTTCCATGAACCTATCCATTGCTGCATAGGATGTCTGAATCCAACCACCACAAAAGGTGCTTTCACCTTTTGAGTGGCTGATGGTCATTGGAAGTGTGCATGTGTTCTCTCAGTTTAGGTCTTCTCCCTGATGCTTGCAGTGTGACTTGCAGTTTACAAAAGCATTGAAGTCCCAGTGTGTTATCTGGGAATCCATGTTAACCCATGTGCTAAGTGAATACATTTTTTTTGTATCTGAATATCAGGTAAGATCAGTAGACTTCCTTATTTCCTAGGCTCAGTTTTGTGGCATGTTAGCTCTGGCACTGTTCTGTGAGATCCTGCACATACATCCCCCTCTTATGAACCCTTCGTGTTTATAGACAGGATCAGCTTCAGCTGGGTCTGTGCAGCAGCTGGTTACTCTGCTCTTAAACATGTATGTGAGATGGCTACATCTCCAGTATTTTGCCTGACTGTGTTTTCAGAACCACCTCACTGAAGCTTACCCTGACCCCAATGTGAAAGCCTCGCCTAATTTTTGTGCTGCTTTTTTCCCTAAATTATTCTCTGGACATGTGGATTGCTTAACTATGCCCTCCATTATGCCCTGTCATGTTCTTTCCAGCACTTGAAAACAAAAGTACAGGGTAAAGTAGGCTACACAGTGGGGTTATGGCAGCTTGGAAACCTGATGAGATTGCACAGGGCTGAAGTAAGCACAAATGTATCCCTGTATGCCCCAGAGTGTATCTTGCACAGTACTATCTTGCTGGCTCTTGTAAGTTACACTGCAAAATCTTTACAAGAGTTTCGTTGTTTTGAAATTTTCTGTACTAAAACAAATGTTCTTACCCCCAGTGCAAGAGCTCCAAAAGAGTGGAGATTTTGACCAACCACATGCTGTTGTCTCCCCAAGCCACTGATATTTTTGTAAGGCTAGAGTGTTGAAAAAGCCTGAAAAAATTAACAGCTTCACCAGCATTAGGTTGTTTTCCTCCATTGTGCCTGGGACAACTGTAGCTTCCTAATAGTCTCCTATGTGTACAGGGAAGAGAGGTTTGAGAAGCAATAAGTTGTGAGGTAAGATCAAAGACCACATTTAGCTGTAGTTATGAGTATGGTGTAGGGAGAGATAAAATACCTGAGAGTATTGCCATGCTGGAATAGTGATCTACAAAGGTTGTTAATTATTATGTTTCTTACCATCAGTGTAACCTTCTATGTTCGAAAGCAGCAGAATTACAACACACAAAGCGAAAATCCTCTTCAGATTAACTTAATGTGACTTCAGCTGGCTGTCCTCCTGATCAAGTGACCTTATCTTGACACAAACACACTGGATAGCATGGAACAGAAATTTACTCTTCCCACACCAAGAGGAAAGGGAGGATCAAGGTTTAACTGTGAAATTGAAATGAAAGGCTTTAGAGCCTTTCAGCTCCAAAAGACCTTGGTTCTTGTCTCAGTTTGTGTCCTAGTTCCAAGAATAAAAAATAATTTCTATTCGGCAATTGCTGAAAGAGTTCAGAGAACAGAAGTAGGAAGTAAGGGCTTCAACCTCTTTGTTACCCAGCCCATCTCCCAGACAGCCTCCTCCACAGCAAAAATGTTGGTAGTGTCAGATTTAGGGTAGAAACCAGCACAAGCTCCCTCCCTCCCCAGAGCTCCTGATGGGCAGGCAGTAAACATATTGCTGCAGGTTATAATTTCAAACACTTCTAACGAAGAATTAAAGCCCAACTTTACTCTTTTCTGAGTTAGTCTGCAGCTACCCACTCTTCACTTAAGAGGGGACAGGACAATTACTTAAAAAAGTCAGGTGACCTCAGCTGTTGGTGTGTCCTACATATAGCTGGATCAGTTCTGCAGAATATTCATGAATGCCGATGTAGTAGAAGCAATAGCACTTCTTGTCATGTCCAGAAGGTGGTACTGAGAAAGTCCCCTCCAGGAAACTGATGGCCAGGCCTTTGGAAAGCAGAGGCACACAGATTCACAAACAGTATTGAGGACACACATCTGAAAGCTGTGTACCTGAAACTTTAACTTGGACTTTTAAAAATAATTTGTTGGTTTGTTGTTTTTTGTTTTAAATACAAAATATTTTATTATCTCTCTTAGAAATTAAATATATTACTTTCTCACATAATCAAATTCCGCTTTAAAGGGAATACTGTACATGGCTCTGTAGGAAACGTTGCTGTTTCTACTCTAAAAACTAATATTCCTATGTCAGTAATCTGTTGGTCAGGATATTGACTTTTGGGATACGCCCTTGAGGATTTTCATACACTGGAAATAGCCAGGAATAAACTATATCTGACTTTTAAATAGGATATTGTGATGCTGCTGCTCATTTGTGATACATCTGTGTGTTTCAATCCGCTTACTTGTGCTCAGCATCCACAAGCAGCAGCCGGGCTGTGAGGTTAGGAGCTTTGTCCACCCTCAGCACCTCTGAAACCTTTCATCTCGGAGGGTTCGCTGGGGCTGGGGAGCCGTGGCTGCCGCTGCCCGGGGATGCTCACCCCGCCGGCCCGGCCCGGCCCGGCCCCGCCGCTCCCCGCTGCCCGCGCCGCGCCCGGCCGCGCTTTCGGTTTCACTTCTTCCTGCGCACGGGGCAGAGTGTGTCCTCGCGGTGTTCGTGTGCTGAGAAACTAGTGCAGAGGTGGCATGCTTCCAGACACAAGGGGATAAAGCCCGCAGAGGTGAGTCGGTAAAATTCTTCACTTCGTAGTAATAAATGTGAATATCGAGGTGCAAAGGTAAAGCGCTGCTCAGGAGTTCGGGTGATTTCCTGATTTCCTTGATCCTGGATTTTTCTTCACTTGCAAGTTAGCCAAGTCAGTGGCAGTTTTTAAAGTTCTTGCTCATAATGTTAAAACTATACTTCTTTCTTTTGCCCATCTGAAACGCTGTCCCTGAAGTTTGATAATGGGTATGTGATTTATTCACTGGACCCCCCAGACAAAGCTAAAACACCTGAAGCTGGTTCCAGACTTCTTACAATGAAAAATCCAGGAAAAGGCAGCCCATTGGGCTGGAAGTCAGCTAAAGAACCTGGTTTGTGATTGTGCAGTACATTTCTTCTGCCTTTCAAACTTAAAATTGAGCCTGGCAACAATTGCTGCAGAACCCAGCAGCTGTCTGATCACCCTAACACAAACTCTGAGGATGATGCAGACCGGGATGCAAGCTTCTGTCACAGATAAGCTTCCCTTTTGTTTTCCTTAGTGTTTCCTGCAGTTAGGGTGCAGAGGAAAGATGTAGGACAGGTGGTCCTTTATTTTCTCAGCTACAGGGACACGGGTTCTGTGCTTGGCAGCAGCTGTAGCAGGCCAGCCTGCCTGCAGGACCAAGAGTTTGTTGTCCCATCCTCCTCCCCATTAACCAGTGGCAGATGAGTGGAGAGCTGGGCTCTAAGAGCTGCAGGATGTGGTGAGCATGCAGTGCTCAGCAGGGAATTGTTTTTTCATTGAGGTTTATTTTAAACCATCTTTTTTTAGTCTGTTCTTTGTGCCTTTGCAATGTTTTATGTCTCTCTATCCTTTGCTTTTACCCCCACTCCCACTGGAGTATACAACTGTCTCCCCTTAGATGGCCAGGTTGCTCCCAAAAAGGCAGCCATGAGATTCCCCTGTAGCCACTAAAATGTGACTTTTTGTCAGTGGAGCAGTCCTAATGCATGCCCTCTGAAAAGGCAGGTCAGCTACAGAGTCACACTCTGCTGGGGTCTGACCTGCTAAGCTCCTGTTTGGCTGCTGGTTACAGTGTCACCCTTAGGGTGTTTTGTTATGCTAGTGGAAATTGGTCTCTTTAGAAAACATCAGTTATGAAGAAATTTTCCTTTTATCTATACAAATATGCTGGTTTAATTTCTCTTCTCATTTCTTGTTTCATTGTTTGCTAAAGCACAGTACTCTAATGTGCTCAAAGCTCGATCATATTAATTAAACACAGGTTCCTAGCAAAGGAAAATGGGAGCTGTAGAAGTAATAAAGCTCACACTTCCCATGAGTTAGTCTTTTGAGAAGCTCTTTTAGCTTCCTGCTAAGTGTAGGCAGGTTTATTCCTGTCTATAGCCTGTTCTGTACTGGGGCAGTAACAGCCTTCTCTGCCTGGGAGCCCATCCTGCTGAGACTGAACTCATTGGTAAATTCAGGCTGGTAGGTGGGTTCCAAGTTTGTTGGCAGAAGGCCATACAGATGGGTGTGTATCATGACTGTGGAGACACTGTCACACATCAGGGTTGAAAATAAAAGCTTTCTATTTTTTAAAAAAGAAAAATATTGAAGACAGGAACTTAAGCTTACTGTCCTCTGCTACAGCATGAAAAAAATGTTCTGGCAAGCACTCACAAAGTATGTTCTCCTTCTACTAAAGATTAATTCTGTAGAGAACAGTATGGAAGATACAGAGGACTCTTCTTTTTATTAGAAGAAACGCCATTTAATTAGACTATTAAGCTCTATGACTCAGAAGGCTAGTCAAACCCTTCTGAGCTCTCACAGCTCTGTTCTGATCAGAATTTTTATGGAATTAATTTTATTTCTTTGCGCAGTAAAGTTTCATTACAAGATCACCAGGTGAATTTAAATCTAATGGATACTAAATGGAAAATGAACAAAATATGAAAAAGCCCAAGATTCATTAGAAATGTAGTGACAGAACAGGTAGAGCCACTGAAAATTAGAGTTTCAGCGTCGCTATCCTAATCTAAATGACCAAAAGATATGGGGTGGAATATATAAATTTGTAAATGTGCAAGTTTTCCTGAAAGTATTTGGATAAATATATTGAATCAATGGGCAGTGTTTCCTCTACACCTTGGCTGTTCTCCATTTCTCTCTCTGATTAGGTTGGTACTGATTTACTTTGTGTGTTCTTACTTTCTCATATATGTTTCCATAGCCTGGTATTCCTTCTTTCTCTATAAGATGGAAAGAAAGATAGAATTTTGTGTGATTGACTTGTAAAATAAAAACTGGCAAGAACAGTAAAAAAAGAAGTGGTATATTATGTATTTTTACTGCATATAACTATAAATATTTCAGATGTAATTAAGCTCAGAGGTCAGTTACTAGCATTGAGAGGCTTATGTACAATTTGTCACATTTATTGTATTTTATAAATGTTAAAGCAATGCGAAATTAATCAGAAACGAGAAAGCAATTGGAAATTTTCATTGGTAGTAGATAAAGTTGGTAGCTTTTTGAACATACCTATTTTTGTGCAAGACAATATTATTGCTTTTAATTAAAAGTATTTATTTAGAGAGATTATTGGACATAACTCTTCTGCAGAAGTAAATGCAGAAAAAAATTCATGGGTTAAAAACACTGACTGTTTGCTCACTATGAAATCATGTATTTTTTAAGCCTTGCTTGCTTAGCCTTCAGTTGAAGACACAAGTCATGTCAAAATGATTGTAATTTGCAGTGTTCTTTTTGCCTTTGCAGATAGAATGATGCAAAACGCTATTCTTTGGTGGAGCAGCTTGTGTGTCAGATTGATGTTTGTCTTCTGGCCATGTGCATCAGCTGGAAAGCAATGTCACATCCAAAATGAAATGGCTGACTGCAGTCACCTAAAACTGACTCAAATTCCCTCTGATCTTCCAAACAATATAACGAGTTTGGACATTTCTCATAATCAGCTAAGACAGCTAGGTCCTGCAAATCTGACCAAGTACAGCCAGCTGGTTTACTTGAATGCAGGCTACAACAGCATCTCTAAACTGCAACCAGAATTGTGCCAAAATGTGCCCCTGCTGCAGATTCTGAAGTTAGAACATAATGAATTGTATAAGCTCCCTGACAGAGTCTTTGCTTCCTGCACCAACCTGACCGAGCTCAATCTAGGATACAACAGACTAAATATAAAAAATGATCCTTTCAAAACCCTGAAGGTAAGAGCTAGAAATGCATCTTTTTGTGTAAATGAAGTATAAATGTGGAATTTACTGTATTTTCCAGTGTATATACACAACTGCTTCCTTGGTATCTCAAAATACCCAACATACAATCTTTCACTGATTTTTGCTGAAGAAGAGGCCTTGTGGGTTCTTCTGTTATAGCATGTTGGAGTCTCAGTCATCTTTGTGAGTCAATGCTTTCCATTCCTTTCTCTGTCTTGCATCCTTTGAAGCACCTGTCCCATGCAGGATGTGTGCTGAGTGAATAGCAGCAGCAGATGATGAGAACAGTGAAGTGGATGCTGTGGAATCCGAGCTGCCTGGGTAGCTGGTAGCCTCAATTCTCAAGGTTGAGGTTTAAGTATTCAAACCAGGAAGGCCAGTGCTTAGGCTGAATGTATCTCTCAGGACTTTAAGAACTGAGAAAGAGTAAAAATGTTATTATTGTACCTTTGCTTTCTCTGGTAGTTTACATGTGGTTAAATATTCTTGTCTGTAGCAGAGACTGGGGGACCACCACAGAAAGCAGGAATTTCACTGTATTTGCACCGAAAGCAGGAATTTCACTGTATTTGCACCAGGCAGGACTCATGCAAAAGGAAGAGCCTAAGGACAAGTAAAGTAAAGTAAAGTAAGGACCGTGTGTAGGTACTAATTGTCACTCAGTGTTCCAATGAGTATGCATGTGGTTTCGAGTAGGTCTGAACTTTCTGAACTCAGTATTCCAGTTCAGTTGCATGAAGTGTACTTGCTTGCATTGTACGATTGCTGGCACAACTAAATACAAGTGAGTGCAACCAACCAGCTTCTATGCTGGGAACTTCACCTTCCTCATTCCATTTACAGGGCTGGACCACGCTGAAAAAGCACAGAATACAATGTTTAATACTGCAATAGCTGTAACTGCAGCCACCTGTAGGCTTTTGCATTTATTACTTTATCTGCGAAAGGAGGGCCTTCAGTGAATTAAGGAACTTTAACTAAATTTACTTTGGTTTGCAGTAGATACTTTAGCAGGTTAATACCATTAATACCATGAAAGTTACTGGTGTGAAAGATACAGAATACTTCGTCTAGCAGGAGCTTGAAAGCTGCCATTTCTGTATTGCAAATTTATTATAAGTGTAGTATTGCAACTAATTTCTAATCAGTTATACTCTAATGAAATATTTCTAAATTTTTTTTGTATTACATACAAAAAAAAATTTAAAAATTAATGCTACACTTTTTTATTTTTTCTTGCATCTTCTCTCCAGAACTTGAAAATTTTGGACCTATCTCATAATTCTTTGAAGTCAGCCAATTTAGGATTGGAGCAACAGTTGGAGAGACTTCATGAGCTCAGGTTGGGAAGCAACCAAATCACTGAGTTGAAAAAAGAAGACTTCAGTTTTCTTAGCAACACCTCACTGAATAGTCTTGATTTGTCATCAAATCCACTAAAAGAGGTAGGAAACATTTAAACAGAAATTTAACAGGTGTAAGTATAAAATGGAACTATCCCAATTTACCTTTTATGGTTGTATGGCATTTACATTACAGTTTTGATGCACTGAGGTCCAAAACCCATTCTATTTTATACAGCATTCCTCCTGACCTCCAGCAGTGATTTACAGAATTACTGTTTTGACACTGAAATTGGCACAGGCTGGTTTCATATGGGCTGGTTCCATGTAGATCAGAGGTCTCAAGCAAAACCTACATTGAGATGCTCTTAGAATCCTTAACAGGTATTTTCTGTGCAGAACTTTTTTTGGACGTGCTGAAGGTGAAGGTCTGACACACTTTCTAAGTGTGGGTATAAAGTGTGCTGTGCAAAGTCTGGTTATACAATCTAGGGTTCACTTCACAATAAATCAAAGACAGCATTCAGCTTGTGGCTGTGGGAACACCAGAGAAATAATCATTCCAGAAACATATACTCACTCCTTTAAAAAAAAAACCCACACAGGTACTTTGTCTTCCATCTGTGCTCTCTGACCTGCTTCTCGGTGTTTTGATTCTTTGAAGAGTGATGGTTAAGTGTGGCATTTCTAAACTGGTTTACCCTCAGCATATAAATACTGAATATGCATTGAATTTACTTGGTTCGTATGGTTTTTGTTTGTTTCTTTCGCTTTGTTTTCCAGTTGATTGATCTCTAAAAAATATGTACATTGAACCTACAAGAATATTTTAAGGTGGTATAAGTTTGTATCAGTGCTAAGAGTGAATCCTACCATCCTCTTTTGCTTGGGCTCTTCATCCCTCCCTCTTTCTGATATCAGCTTTTATGAGGCTATGTGCTGGATCATGGGGAGAACTCTACAGGTGTTTTGGCTTGGTTACTTGTGGTCACACTGGTTCCCTACCTGGTTCAGTGTGTGACTGCCTGTAGGGCTATTCTGGCACAAGGGTACAGGGTGTGGATGAAGAAATGGCACTGCTCCTTTCTTGAGCACTGCTACTTTGTGCCACTTTCAGCTGCTCTGGTTTTACAGTACTGCCATCTAAAAAGCAGCCTTATGCATTTGAATAATTCTGAAAAATGCAGTATTTAATCCCTCAGGTGATGTCTTAATCAAGATGAGGGGCCAACATTATGATAAAAGCTTGTGATCCATATTGTGAAAGCAAGTGTATAGTATTAGATTTCATATTAGCTTTGGCTTGCACAGAGAAACTGGGTTTCTTCTTGTCTGTCTGCAGACCTAATAACTAGTAAATTAGTATACCTGGCAGATACCAATAAAAGAAAGCTGAAGAAAGATATCAAAAATTTTAAGATACTTCTAGAGAAGGAGTTTTGGTTGTTGGATACAAACTTGCATCTCACTAAGCCACTTTCTGTCTTCTTCTAAAATAATACTACTCAGATTTATGGTAATCATGTTATAAATTATAGAACTATTGTCACAAGAAGTATAAACTCCAAAAAGCATTTGCCTGAACTTGGCTGTGAAGCAATCTGAGTGTAGTTCTATTCTTCTTGGAAATCGTGTTCGAAAGACTTTCCAAGTTTTTGTTCTATTGGTCAACTTTCTTACATAATCCCTTGTTTAGCTCAAAACTTTTTTTTCTTGTCCTTTCAGTTTCATACGGGATGTTTCCATACAATTGGAAATTTGTGTGGCCTCATACTGAACAATGTTGAACTTGGTGAAAATGGCACAAAGAAACTTTGCACAGAATTATCAAACACAGCGATTCGAAACCTCTCACTGAGCCATGTGAAACTTTCCTACATTGGCAAGTCAACTTTCCAGGGACTGCAAGGAACAAATCTTACAATTTTAAACCTTTCCCAAAATTCTCTCTCTGATGTAGAAAATGACTCATTTCAGTGGCTTTCAAGTTTACAATACTTAAACCTGAAGATTAATAATATTCATGTATCTTCACGTTTATTTTATGGATTATCCAGCCTTAAATATTTGAATCTCATAAACTCAGTTACCGGGAAAATTGAAGATTTTTCTTTTCATTGGCTATACCACCTGGAGTACCTTATAATGGATAATAACAATTTTCCAAGAATTACTGCTAATATGTTCACAGGTCTGAACTACCTGAAATATCTGAGTCTCTGCAACTGCAACATAAACTTACAAAGAATAACTAATAAAACATTTTCATCACTTGCTAATTCTAGCTTACAGGTTCTCAACCTCACAAAAACCAGAATCTATACAATAGAAAGTGGGGCATTTTCTTCCCTGGGACACCTGAAAATTCTTGATCTTGGTCTCAATGAAATTAGTCAACAGCTTACAGGTCATGAGTTTAAAGGTCTCAATAATATACAAGATATTTATCTTTCCTATAATAAAAACTTGACTTTGCAAAGTGAATCATTCATTTTTGTCCCAGGCCTTAGAAAACTGATGCTGAGGAAGGTAGGCTGCAGTAATCTGGCACTTTCTCCTTCACCTTTTCATCCTCTGCGAAACCTGACTGTCCTGGACATCAGCAATAACAACATAGCAAACATAAAAGAAGACTTGTTTGATGGACTTGACAAACTTGATATCCTGGATCTGCAGCACAATAATTTAGCCCGGCTTTGGAAACATGCAAATCCGGGTGGCCCTGTTCTTTTTCTAAAGGGTCTTCCCAATTTGCGAATTCTTAATTTAAAATCAAATGGGCTTGATGAAATTCCAGTTCAGGTTTTCAAGGGTCTGTTTCAATTAAAACACTTGGATTTAGGCTCAAATAATTTGAATTTGCTTCCAGCAACTCTGTTTGATGACCAAGCCTCTCTGAATTCATTGAAGCTTCAGAAAAATCTGATAACCTCAGTTGAAGAAAAAGTATTTGGCCCACCTTTCAGGAGCTTGAGAAAACTAGAAATGGATTCCAATCCCTTTGATTGTACCTGTGAAAGCATTGCTTGGTTTGCTGATTGGCTTAATGAGACCCAAGCAGATATACCTGGATTGAGGTCCCAGTACATTTGCAACACCCCACCTAAATATCATGGTAGTCTGGTTTTGTATTTTGATAGTTCAGCCTGCAAAGACAGTGCTCCATTTAAACTTCTTTTTGTGATCTCTACCACTATTGTGACGCTATTCATTGTTATTGTCCTTACCATCCATTTTGAAGGGTGGAGAATAGCTTTCTACTGGAATATTTTAGTCAATCGAATGCTTGGTTTTAAAGAATTTGAGAGACAACAGGAACAGTATGATTATGATGCCTATGTTATTCATGCAAGAGAGGACAAGAATTGGGTGTCTAAAAATTTCATGTCTCTGGAAAAAAATAACCACTTTGAAATTAAATTTTGTATAGAAGAACGGGATTTTGAAGCAGGTGTATCTGTGTTTGAAGCCACGATTAACAGCATAAAAATGAGCAGGAAGATTATTTTTGTTGTGACTGAACACCTTTTACAGGATCCCTGGTGTAAAAAGTGAGTAGGATTTTAAATTATATCTGTAAGAGGAAAAATTTCTTAAGAGTTATTTTAACAAGATCATTTTTAGTTGTAATTTAATAAAAAATAGCATTTAATGAAAAAATTCCCACTCAAAATCTATTCCAATATATTTTCCTAATATATTGTAACTTCAAAAAAATTCCTAAGTTAATAAAGTTGTTTCACACATACGATAGTGTACATTTGAATATCTAAGTCAATGTTTTAGGCATTTTCTTGGGTGTTTTTTGTGGTTTTTTGTTTGTTTTTTGTTTGGTTGGTTTGTTGGTTTTCTTTTTGCTTTTGGGTTTTTTTTTGGGGGGAGGGGGGGGGGGGGGGGAATCTTTTGTTTTGTTTTGTTTGGTTGGGGTTTTTTTCCCAAAAGTCAGGCTGACACCTTTGCAGATTGCTTTTCTTAAAATCACACATTTGAAGAAGAACAACAATGAGCGAGACCGCTAGCATTGAAAGATGATTTTTGTTTGCCTTTAAAGTAGCCTTTTCACTATTCTTATATAGTGGTCTCATAAAGAAAGGGACTTTGCTAAACAAGGCTGTATCAAGACAGTACACTTAGGTTATACTTTTAGAGCATTATTTTATTTTTTTTTAGTTAGAGGCAACTAATTTAAGAAAAGTAATAACTATTGTATATCACAAAATAGACATTAAGACCTCTGTTAATCTTTTCTTTCTCTTTCACCTAAAAGAAAACACTGATTTTTGTCTTGTTTTTGCTTCAGTTTCAAGGTGTATCATGCTCTTCAGCAAGCTATTGAACAAAGTCGGGACTCCATCATACTGGTCTTTCTTGATGATATCCAAGATTACAAGTTGTATCACGCACTTCACCTGAGAAGAGGAATGTTCAGATCTTGCTGCATCTTGAACTGGCCAGCCCAGAAAGAACGAGTCAGTGCATTTCATCAGCAATTAGTGATGGCACTTAAATGTAAAACCAAAGTGCACTGATTTTTGAACTACAGATTTGAATTATGGGGTCATTTTATTGTATATTTTCTGCCACTGGAAAACTAGCAAGCCTTCATGAAAGTCTGAAAAAGTTTGTCATCCTGTAAATATACGTAAGGGGCACCATAATTTAAATTTATTTGTTTATATTCATATTTTTTCTGGTATTTTAATTCAGCTGCACTGAAGTGATGTTAAAGGGAATCATGGTGGATAGTCATTTCAGTCAGTGTATTAGAAATGTGGCAGAAATTCTGAAAAGCAGTAAGAATCACTGATGTTACATGAAATGATGTTGGGTAGAAAAGACAGACTCTCTAAGGGGAAATCCAAAAGAAAATGCATTAATGATAAAAATTGTAGAAGGTAGAGTGGACACTAGTTCTTGCTTTTGAAACATGGGGGATTCAGTGCCTCCAGCTGGAAAGATTTCCTTATGAAACACATCAAGTAACACAGAAAATTACTTCTGTAATTCAAAACAAGAATTTGCAGTTCAAAAGTGAGTTTCAAAGTTTTAAAACCTTTGTGATAATGCCTTCTGGATATATGCCTTCTGGGAATACTGGTTGCTATCAAAAAGCAACCTTCAGGCTGATGAGTCAACTGATTTAATAAATTTGGTATCAGGAAAAAGAATTTTTGCTCTTTTGTGGTGAAATTCAGAGAGCTGGCAGGACACTAACACTGAGAGATGTCACCTTGATTCTTAGAATGCACACAAAACTGTATCCGGGCCTGTACACAGAACTTGAAATCAATGTGAAGCATGGCCACGGCACAGCTGCTGCACCTCTATAAAATTAATAAAGGCACAGCTATTTTTATAATATAACCATAAGAAGACTTCGTGAAGAAAGTGGTACTACTGCAATTTCATTACCAAAAATTTTGTTACTGGTAAAGCAACAACAACAAAACCAAAGAAATCATTTTAAATAGTATCAGAAACATTATTGTGACCACAGTTAGAGGTGGAGTGGGCAAAAAATGTCAACACTAGATTAATTTCAATTTTTTTCTTCCCCTTTATACACAGTTTTGCCTTTGATAGCTAAAAACAAAACTATAAAAAAATAGAATTCTGTAGTTTATTTCTTGCATATTAAGCTAGTTTGATTTTTTTTTCGTGAACATATTTTTCAGAAATATGGGCTAGATGGCAATTGCCAGGGCATTAAGGTTCAAGCATATGGGCTAGCAGCTTGATCTGGAGAGAGAGCTGAGGCTGAGCAAAATGCGCTTTGCAAGAGTGTTTATAATGTTTAACACTGGCTAAAATTTTATGGTGAATCTGAGCACAAGTTATTGTAAATTAGACACAAGGCAGTATATTTTTGTTAATATTTGATTGCTGCTGCAAGGACCTTTTATAACTTTGTCAGGTTTTAGTAGGTCTGTGATCCTTCAATAGCTCAGGAGTATTTTTAAATTGCTTTTTCCCCCTAGCATTTCCCTCATCAACGTCAATACCACTATTGCTACAAGAATGCTGTTTTTCTGCTTTAGAAAACAGTTCTATGCTTCACATTTTAAACAGCTTTTCTCATTATTTGCTATATGTGTAGATGAAAAATTGGGTTTTAATACGTTTCCTATGTCCCATGATGACAAAAAACTAAACAAGACAAATAATTAGTGAAATAGGATTATTCATGCACTGGAATAGTGAAGGGGGTGCAGATGTCTTCACTTGGTCGGGAAGTCCTGAGTGAAAACAAAACAGGCTTTGTTTACAGCTGAAGTGATAGATGATGATTCCCTAATTACAGTAATAGGATTATCCCCATTGTGATGCTTTCATCTCATCTTTCTCACCTTTTCAGGTGAAGTGACAAATTCTCTCTTCATGCTTAGGCCATGAAAGTTGAGGAGGCAAGTTGGTAATTATGGTGTACCAGGTATGCACCATATCAACTGTTCTCTCCCTTATTTAAAGACTAACATGTGACAGGGTTCCTATCCTAAATCTGCAATGACACAAAGGAGCAGAATTTCTCTTTCCACATCAATACAAATTGTTCAGAAAATGCTAGTAGTTCACATGGATTAATATTCACATGGTTATTAAAAATGACGTAAAGATGAAGAGAACGCATGGAGAAATGCTGCAGTGAAATGTGATACAAGAGGTCAGACTAGATTATCTAATGGTCTTTTCTGACCCTTAGAGCCTGACAAATGACAGCATGTCTAAATTCTTAAAGATTTTTCTAGTCAGTACAAAAGCTCCCAAAATTGGTTTCAGAACAGTAAAAAAAAAAAAAAAAAAATCTTTTAAGTGCTTAGTTTTGTAATACTGCTAGGAATACAAACCAGAAGGTCTTGGTGATCAATGAAAAATCCCTTTAAATTATAAAAATATGATGAATACATTCTAAACAGTTATTTTAGTACCTAGATTCAGTTTAAAAAAATCTACCACAGTAATAGACATTATAAAGGTTCACAATGTGTAAAATAAAAAAAAGGCTCATAATGTAAAAAAAAGGCACAAAACTAATAATCACAGGGCCAGTGGTAATCATCAGTTACACCAGACCTGAAATTTTCCTATAAATTTTCTCTGTTTTTCTGAAAGTTACTTCTGGTCTGCTCCTGTAGATTTGTTTCACAATTCTATTGAGAGTAAATAAATGGGTTTACCATGGCTAAGAGTTGGAAGTGCTTTCAGAATTCACAGTCTATGCCTGAGCTGGGCAGCCTCGTTGCAGTGGGCAGCATCAGATTATATTATGCTGATCTGCTGATGAGTTGAACACCAAATAAATGAAAAGTAGTTCCAAACTTGTAATATTGAAGATGTTACGTAGGACTAAAGAGGAGTCATTTGTATTGAAAGCAGAATATGTAAAGGACTTGAGTGAGGCAGAATGCTCACTGCAGATTTGGAGTGGAACCTGACTGTTTCTGCAGATCTTGAATGACAGGGTCATGGTTTAGGAATACTATTCTCCAATTTAGTGTTCTAAACTATGTGCTGCTCGCTTACTCCTCCCTCCCCGTGGCAGGCTGGAGAGCAGAACTGGAGGCACAAAAGGTAAAGATCATGGGTTGAGATAAGAACCATTTACTTGAAAAAGCAATGAAACAAAAACCAAACAGTACCATGAACAATATTAATAACAGAGTGTACAAGAGAGCTGATCGATTCACATATGAGTTCTTACCACATGGAACACAAAGGACCCCTGCCCCTTGTACTTGATGTGAGGTGCAGAATTACCTCAGGGTCCTAGCCATGCCCCTCCTTGCTACTGCAAACATTAACCCAGTCCTGGCCAGAACCTGGACACAAGGAGTAAAGAACATGTTACTGATAGTGATGTTCATATATATAGCTGAGATAAATATACTACCCACCAGTGAGCTCAATTATGCTGCTTTCACTTTGGCTCAGTCAGGGCTTTTCACCATGATAGGAATAAATTCAGATTGTGTTGCTGTTAGATTTAAGTGCATCTATTCCATAAGGTTTTGTCAGAACATATTTATCCTGGTTTGTAAGAAAAAGGCCAGGAATGCCCCAGTTTAAAATCTCAGTCCTCTATTTGGTGTTCTGTGTGCTCTCTCTGCCAGCTCATTGCACTCCTTGATGTGCTAGGAAGACAAGGCAGGGATAAAATTCCCCACTTTGTACCGGTGGTTGCTGTAGACCAGCAGCTGCCAACTTAAAATCGATAGTACAGTTAGTTGCTTGATGTGTGATCCTGGGGCTCATATGTATAAAGCAACTGGTCTAACTTTCAGCCTGTGCTGTTCTCTTGGGCACTCCAAGGGCCACGTGACCTGTCATGTTCTGAGCTGGCACGATGTTTGCCCTGTCCATAATACTAAGCATTACAGTGTTCCCAAACTGCTGCTGGTGTGTTCGTATTTCTCTTCAGCCAGGCAGACAACTCAATGTTGGAAAGCTAGGGCAAAGTTAATTATTCCCCACTCGTGAGCCCTCAGCTGTGTGGCTTGTGCCACTGTCACCCTCCACTGCTCTCCAAACTGCCCAGGATGGCCGGGAGCGCCTTTAAAAGCTGTTGCTTCCACACAGCTCCCTTCTGCATGTGCCTGGCATGGTGATAAAGATGTGCTGGCTTCGGTCGCTCTCACTCCCCACTTCTGGTTAAGCCTTTCCTACGCACAGATGCGTGAAGAGGGCCCTGCTGCCCTGGCAGGTGGCCTTAGTTTTTGCCCCGTAATATTAGATGGGATTCTAACTGAGGGGAAATCTCACGCTTTGTTCGCCCGGCTGGCCGCCCGGTGCCCGCAGGTGCGCCGGCTGCTCGGGGTGCTGCCGGGCCTTCCGCGGCGCGGAGCTCCCCGCCCAGGGCGGTGCGTGCCCGGCGGGGTTTGTTTCGCTTAGCAACGCCTGCCGGGCCGCAGGCAGAGGGCAGCTCCTGCCGGAGGCCGCCTGCCCCTGGACAGGGCTTGCGGCGCCGGGAAGGGGCTCCCGTCCCAGCCTGCCATGAAGGTGGCGGCCCTAGGGGCGGGCGCCCTTCTCTCCAGGCTGCGCCGCTCCCCGCCGGCCCCCAGCCCGCGACCCCCGTCCGGCGGGGGCCGCGCCGCGGGCAGGGGCGGCCGCACCCCGCGCCCGGCGCCCAGCGAGACGGACAAGGAGCCCGGGGGGCGGGCGGCGGCCAAGGGGCTGCTCATCACCCTGCCCGACATCGGGGAGGAGGCGGCGGCCGAGGGCGACGAGGCGGCCGGCAGCCCACGGCTTCCCGTGTGAGTGAGCGCCCGGCAAACCCGGGGGTACGGGGGAGGTGTGCGCCCCTCACTCCCGTGGCTTCCTTCCACCTGGCTTTTTCTGCCTCTGGGCGTCCTGAGGGGTACCGAACATCTCCGTGGGCAGGGTTTTCCTTCCCCCGGCAGTATGCCAGAGGCAGGGAAGCGCATCTTTGCGGGCAGGAGCGGTGGCTCGCACGGGCGGCGCCGCAAGGAACGAAGAGCTGGAAAACGCTCCCGGTTCCGCGGGAAGGGGACGGGCGTCAGACCCCGGCCCCGCACGGCCGG